GGAATTGTAGGGTTTCTGATGTTCGTGTCGCGAAATGAAAACCTGTTAAGCAGAACCTGTGGGGACTGGGTCCATGAAAGTGACAGACATCCTCCGAATCAAACTAGAACTCCGAAGTTTCGAAGGGTGAGACCTCAGGCCTCAGACTGCAACTCTGGGAGGGACTCAGAAGCATCGGTTTTCGAGGATCTGTGCCCGCCCAACCTGGTGGTCTTCGACCTCACCAGGCATCAGCGTTCTTCGCTGGCTGCCGCATCCGCGAGCCAGGGGGCGCTTTTTCCACGTGGGTGTTTCTCTTCTCGAGGCTCTGACCTCTTGTGGGGTGGTTTTCTAGGGAAATTAAACGGAAACCACCAATTTTGGAGGTTCCAAAATGTTAAGACCGGAGCATGGGAAGCCGCTGGCGAAGTAACTAAGCAAGGCCCCCCCCCAATATTATCTTTCCTACGACATGCGCTGATCAGCCAGCGGGATCCGAACCATTTTAAGCGTTTGCATGACAAAGCTACCCTCTCAACACAGAAGGTCCTCTGAGAATAGTTCAACTCAGGGACCTGCCAACAGGTTGCATGTTGGTGGAGGGTTGGATATTCTACTTGGCGGCTCTTGACTCTCTCAAACTGCTAGCTTTACGCCTTCGAGACCCCAGACATCTTGCTTCGTTGCTCTTTGACTGAACGAATCCCTTAGCCTTTGGAAAAATGAAGAAAGTGTCCAACCACAAACTTGCTGAAGGTCAGCTTTTGCGGGGGGTCGGTTTGACCAACTCGGAAACCTTCGAGGAACATATCTAGGTACTTTTCCCTGGGGGGGGAGGGGGGGTACATGGCCATTCTAAATCATATGGCGGGTTGTTTCAGAGACATCATATGTTTTTATATGTGGGGGGGACTGAATCAGGGTTGCGGGAACGAGGGCTTCTGTGAATTCCGGGACCTCCATTTTAGTGAAGAAGGTTTATCAGGCTCAAATCGTGACAGTGTTTGGAGGGAGCGAGAGACTATCAGGAGAGACATTCGGACCCCCACAAAAAGCCGTTCCCAGGGCCAAGTTTGGTGACTCCTTGGGGAAATATTCTTGAAAGCCGCAACATGGGGTTGGAATCACCATTGTGGTATCACAGAGAGGGCAACCATAGGAATTTCCTCACGTGAGTGTGCGTTTGGTACGTTGCTGTACTTCCGCTTGAGGTTTCTTGAAGGCTCCCTGAGGAACTAAGCGCGCCTTCAAGCCATCCGTCGCAACACTTCTGGGCATCCAGAAAAGTGGTGAAGCTTTGATTTCACTGTTTCAAGCGATTTTCAAAGCGAGACACTCGGGGGTTGCCTTTAGGCTGCCACTTGGGGCGTGGCTTTGATGGTAAAATAATGAGGCCTTATTTGGGTACGTAAATTATCTGTTTAATATATTGCTTGGCAAAAAGCTGGAAGCAGAAATGAAACTTGCCTTTGTTGAACCGTCCGTAATTACAGGACAAACCCATGGAAGCCGAAAGGCAAATGCTTTTGTGCTTAATTTTTCGGGATGTTTGGACTGTCCCCATTGCATCAAGTCTTTCAAAGGCAGATCCTCTGGGCCTTTCTTTAGTGGAAGTGTTGCTGTTCGAATTCAGAATTTAGTTTTTGAATGGAAATTCAGTGACCCCGTGTCTAAAATCGAGGCATCTCAATTTGAAGGGTGTACTTGCGGTACTCGTCAATGTAGAATCCAACTTCGCCACCCCAATCCCCCCCCCCCACCCCCGTCTACCCCCACAAAGCGACACGAATAAGGCCTTATACAACTACAAGGCCTTGTTGAAGGAAACCAGGGGACGAGGTTGAATCCTGTGACGTCAGGCAGCAGTGGGACGAGCTCAGGACTCAGTACCAGGCCTCAACAGGCGGGGCTCCCATAATTAGCATTGGAGGGTTGTAGCCCGTAAGAAGACATGCGCGCCTTGCATTCCCCTTTTGGCTGATTTGAAAGTCACCTTCCGGGCCAATCTTATGTGCGTTTCCCTCTTGCGGAGAAGTGTATGTACCCCCGTGCTTTCATTTGCATTTTGGGTGATTGTTAGCGTGGCCGTGTTGGATGTTAACGGCGTGTTTGCAGGAGTGATGGTTACAGGTGGCGTCATCAGCATACCTGATGCACTAGGGTCAATGATAGGGTCAATGTTCGAATGTTGGGGTCAATGTTAGGGTTGTGTCAGGGTGGATGTTAGAGCTGTGTTGGACCTTTGTCCACTCGATCTTGCAAGTGGCATAGTGCCATTCGAATCCCAGTCCCTCATGTCAAATGAAAATAGTGGCGAGTGATCCTTGGAGTTCCTGTGGGCAGATTGTAGGACATGAACCACATCTCGCTATCCCTGCCCAGTATTTCGAAAAGTTCTAGAACGGATACGCCAGGGCGAATATGACCAACTTATCCGTAGTGCACCAATCCTGGGTAAAGCGACCGCCTCGGAGATTTCTTCGAAATTCGTCCAACGTATGCAGTGGCGCTTGCTGTCCCGTTGTTGTTGTAGCATCAATCCCCTACGTACAGGGTTTGTTTGTTCTTCTTCCAGGGTCGCTGGCTGCTGAGCTATTTCCAGCTTATCAAATGTGCAAAGGGTTGCAGGACTCCAGGAAACGAAGGTTTTTGTCCAGGCACAACTCGAACGTCCCACTCTTTGAAAATCACCAAGTTGTTGTTTGTTTAAGTTGCTTCACCTCCATTTTGCCTTTTGGCTCTTGCCTTTTGGTTCATGGGCCCTAACAATAGGTCGCGGGTCGGACAACAGGGCCCCGCGGTCGCAGGTAGTTTCATGGACGTCCCCGAAGTGGACTCGGCGGACCTCTTGCAATCCCTGCTGCTCGGCTGAACGGCGCTGCCTGATCCCCTACCATGTGGCACGGGCAAAAGTCCCGTTTTCTTGTGGTTTGGAATGGTCATGCACTCCTTTGGCCTTGGAACTGCCCTTTGACCATTTTGCGGAATTTAGCACAAACATTATCTCACGGACCGGCAAAAGAGGGGGGGGCAAAGACACCTGGATTTGTCTCAAAATGTGGATTGTCATTGCGCAAAACGGGAAATCACCCACAGAAATACTTATTCAACTTTCCAGTTAGAACTTCGAGGTAAGCCTCCGATTCACAGGTTCACCGCCCCCACTCCTCACTGCGGATACGTGGCACTTCAAAAAGAGTCGCCATGTGTGACACTCCTGCTTGACTTTGGAAAGGGCACAAATCAAAGGGGGTCTTTTGTCAAGGGTACCCTTATTGGGTAGTGTTAAAGGAATGTATGCATACGCCCGCGCGCCCGCCCGCTCTTACCCCAGCTGGAAACCGCCCAAAAGAGCGGGGAATCAAGCCTCTAGACCAAAGCACTTGAGGATTTCCCCCATTTGGAGACAATTCCATTTGTAGATTTTCCGAGGAAAACGGCTGTGGAAGAGGAGCAGGCGGCGGCAGTGCCAGCACCTGAGCAGTAGCCGCTTGTAGCAGCAGGCTGACTTAGGTCATCCGGCGAGCCTGTGAGTCGTGGGACGAAGACTCGACATCCAGGACCTTCAATTGCTATCGGGACATTTTTCCACCAACTTTGAAAAGGCGTCTTTTTGGGCCGGGGAAATAGCCGTCAGAAGTCTGCGATGGTTTCAACCACCCCAAATCGCTACCAAGGGAGGAACCGGAGTATACCCTCTTTATGTAGTCGCTATGTCGGCTTTGATTTTTATACCAAGGCAACAGGAATCGCCTGCGCCGCGCACCGTCGTTCTGTCCTCAAAGGACACCTCCCTTTCGCGCCTGCAGCAAGCGCAGCACGTCAGTCAAACAGGTGTCCATTCTGGGCAACTTGAAGTGACCTAACCCAAGGTAGCTCACCCATGATGAAGATTCCTTCTTTTTGGGGTTGGTGAAGTTTTTTTGCGTCGCCCATCATTTTCAAGAAGCGTTCTTTTGAGAAACCGCACAGATTCCTTTGTTTGTTGGATAAATCGTGAACAGAGTCCTGAAAAGAATGGAGGAAGTACACAACAATGGTGGGCTGACCAGGTCATAACAGTCTGTCCTTTGAGAACCACCTGTTCTTATTAGATCATGTGCTAGTTTGTTGCGTTCAACTGCTGCACCGCAGGGCGCCGTTCTTCCAATTTTCCGATTCGTAAATTGATACGAAGGGCCATGCGAGACCAACGTGACAGAGCAACCAGCTTGCAACAACCTTGTTGGTCAAAGCAATCAGTCGGCCTCTTGGTCTCGTGTGGCAAGCCATATCGTTGCCAGACTTAGCGGAAGCCTTTGTAACTTTTTGCCTTTTTGGTGTTGCTTCATCATCCCTTTCAACCAACAAACAGTTTTCTTTTTTGCAGGGGGTCTAAGTGTAGCCCTACAATGTGCAACACCGCGAGTTTTCAGCGGGCGCACAGCCCGCAAGACCATCTGCAAAGTTCCATGTGAGCAAAAAGTGTCCGCCAATGCTGCCACATGTTTGCTCGCAATAAAGCGGTTGTTTGACTCTTTGCCAAGATTGCCTCAAGCACATGGTGAACACATATATTATGGTACCTTTCAAGCACGTGCGGTTGCATTTGTAGGTGCCTTCCTGACAGGTTCTCTGAGGCGAAACTCAACCCCCATGGTTGCTTTCATCAGGAGCCCTTCGATCGGTGAGTTCTCATTCGCCCTGTTGCCTCTGCTTGCTTGATCCGCAACCTGCAGCGAAGCGCCGCCTCGCCTCGGTCCCCTTTTCGGGGCTGGTAGGCATTCCAGTCCAGTATATACTATATAATACCTACATGCACCTGTCACTCTGGGAGTTCCACTCAACCAAAATTTAAAAGATGTAACCATTGCCGGACTTAAGTAACCTCGTTGCCCTTAAAAGCTAGAAAACCCGGGAACCCCGAAGGGTAGGTAGCCATAAGAACATGGTGCAGCTAGCCACACCCATTGTGAGGAAAAGGCACTGATTGTATCTCACTTCCCGTGCATGCGTTGGTTTGGGGGTAGTCGAAGCCGGAGGCTTGGGCTACGGAACTCTGAGGCGGAATGAGGGGGCCTTGGCACAGGTCAGGAATTTGTGAACCTTCAAAGAATGGACTTCCAAGAAAGGCTATGAGAAGAGGGC